TACTGAACAAAATATATTTCAGTATATTTTAACAAAAATTTCAATTTAAAGAAATTTAAAAATTTTAACAAACGCTAAGATATTATGTATGATCGAAGAATGAATCGAATAATACAATTGTATGAATAGCTTTGGAATCGAATATTCCATTTGAAAATATTAGCAAATTTTTGCTAATTGCTATATATATATATATGCTAATTGCTATATATATATATAGTTTTTGTAGATTTATTTAATTCAATTTTTAATTTCTTTTCATTCTTTGTTAATTCTTCCATTATTGTTTTTTTTTTGATTTTAATTCTAATTTGCTGAAGTGATTTCAATTAATTTTACCATTTACCATTAACAATTCATTAAACTAAAATGATTTTAATTTTATGACTTTCATTCAATTTTATTGTTTAATCGATTTGTTGCATAAATTAAAAACAACAAATAAATGTGACCTTTCCATTCACAAAACCTTTTTGTTTTACGTTAAATATATTGCCGTAATATTTTACTTATCATAATTATCATCGTAATTAACGAAAATCATATCACGTTTTCCGATATTGCTCTTGCGAAACTTCCTTCTTCGTTTATCAACTTATACCATTTAGTTTATAGTAAAAATATTTTTAGGCTCGTTTTTTTTTTGCTCTTTTCGGCCTGAAAGAATAGGAATGGAATAGTTTCTAATTTATAAAAAAAAGCCTACGTTTTATTCCTTTTTCTTCAATTTAGGAAATAGCAAAGGTTAATGATTGCAATTAATGAAATTGTTGAAAGTAATGAGAAAGAGAAATTGATATTCATATAATAATCATTTATTCCCTAATTTGATTTCCTTTTTAATTAATATATTTTCTATGATAAAATTTTCATTTTTACAATCAATGAAAAGTACTTTGATTTTACTAATTTTTGCATAAATTTAAATTTCACAAAGTGAAAAATTTTGAAAGAAACGTATACTTTTCGTTGAATTTTTAATTTTGTGCAAAATGGAAATATGTAAATTTTGACGAATAAATTGCATTCGAAATTTTATAAAAGAAAAGTTAAGGCCAGTGGGCAGTGAACACCTGTAGTCACCTATAAAAGACATCTATAAAAGACATCTATAGAAGTTAAAACCAGTGGACAGTGGACACCTGTAGTCACCTATAAAAGACATCTATAAAAGTTAAAACCAGTGAACACCTGTAGTCTTCGGGTGTTTTTGCTAAAACTTAATAAGTAAGAATGACAATTTCCATACAATTTAATCAGTTCAAACTTCAAATAATAACAATGATATCTGAAAGTAAAGAAATGATCGGAGAAAAATCATTGATTCATTGATTTATTAAATTATTATTATTATATATTAAAATTATTTACAACATTAATTATTTATGAAACTTTACGAGTATTATTATTTTTTTATACCATTATCTATATATTATACCATTATTTCTGTTGGAACGATTGTTGAAAATTGAAATCATTAAATTATGACAATTTTATCAATAATGATAACTGATATCAATGCAACAACACTTGCCAAACTTGTTCGAATAGTTGTTCCACTCAAGAAGGTTATCTTTATTGCCTTAACTTCTTTTATTAATATTATTTAAAATAACAGCATATAATAACAATAATAAATAATGATAAATGTTAAAAATAATAATAAATAATAATGAATAATAATAAACAATAATAAATGGCAATAATAATAAGCAACAATAACAAGTAATAAGAATCAGTAATATTAAATAATAATAAATGATAATAATGATAAATAATGATAATAATAAATAATAGTAATAAATAAATTACTATTATTATATGGCATTATTATTATCATCATTGTAAAATTAGCTGCATATTTTAAAATGGGACAACTTCCTTCAAATTAAATTTCCCAAATGATAATTCGTTTATCTGAAAGATAAATGAATTACTGATAAGATCTAACTTTACAGACTGGAAAAATGTATTATGCTCTCTCATCGTTAATTAAAATTAACGAATATATTTTGTGAAAAGGAAAAAACAGAAAGTGATTAATTGCTTAAATTAAATTTTAATTTTAAATATGCTATTTTAATTGAGATTTTAAGTTTAAATAATTTAAGATGAACATAATTTAATGAATAATTCAATTGTTCTTCTGCTTGAATTAAATTGAGTAATCATTCACTGTTAATTCTTGTTTTCCTTATTTTGTTCATTTGCTATTTCCTCCGACGTAATATCAATTCTCTTTGATAAGATTATTATTATTTTTTGTTGATTATTGCTGATTACTAATTAATAATCGGTGTGATTAGGATTGTTTGATAGATTCATCTGTTTAATGATATTATCATCTTTTAGTATAACAATACGAGTTATTAATTGATATTAAACAATTTTCAATTAGTATAGGAAAGAAGATTTATAATTGATATGAATAGTTTGACATATAGTAGAAATGATAAGATGAATATACTGATAACTGTACTTTTTATCTGAATTAAACGAACTGAATTTGATAAATTGAATTTAATAATCATTTATTTCTTCAATTTATTTATTTATTTTTATCAGAAAAAAATTTAATATTTCCAAAAAACATTTTCTTCAAAACAATTTAAATTTAAAACTTTCAGAAAATTTTCCCAATAACTTTTTATCTTTTCCTTTTCTCATTCATTCATTCTTTTTTCTTAACTTTCCGCTTCGTTTAATTTCAGCTCGATATTTGAAATAATGAAAATTTATTAGCAAAAGATGAAAATTTGTATAAAACGATGAGTCATACACCATTATTTCCTTTTCTGTTGAATATTTGCATGTTTTAAAACGAATCAAACAAATTCATTCCATTTACACTTTCATTCTTTTCTTCTCTTCCATAATTGCTTATTACTTTTATTGAATGAATTTCATCTCTTAAATATTTCAATTCTTTGGAATTAAATGAAATGAAATGAAATGAAATAAACGCATTGCATTGTTAAAAGAAATTATGAGAAATTAAATTGACGATAAATGGAAAAGTTACCTGCAAATTAGATAATAATTAAAAAAGAAAATGTTACCTTTTCATTCTTTTATTTATATATATTATATTTTAACCAAATGATTTTTAATTTAAAAGTTTTCAACTTTTTATGCTTTGATCTCTTTTTGAAATTGATAATGAATGATATTTATTGTTAATATTGAAATAAGACTTTAAAAGATGGAATGATAAAGATTGATTAAAATTAAAATAAAGCAAATAATACCTTTTTACATTTCTTTTTTAATTTAAAGGAAAAAAGATTACAAGTTGGATACTGTTTTTTTTGTTGTAATACTTTAATAGCGTCGAAAAAATTATTAATTTCAAAATTTTTTTTAGATAAGAATCGAGAAGCTATTTAAACCTAAACTAAGAATCGAGAAGCTATTTAAACTAAGAATTAAGAAGCTATTTAAACTAGAACTAAGAATCGAGAAGCTATTTAAACTAAGAATTAAGAAGCTATTTAAACTAGAACTAAGAATCGAGAAGCTATTTAAACTGTGAATTAAGAAGCTATTTAAACTAGAACTAAGAATCGAGAAGCTATTTAAACTAAAACTAAGAAACAAGAAGCTATTTAAACTTAAACTAAGAATTGAGAAGCTATTTAAACTAAAACTAAGAAACAAGAAGCTATTTAAACTTAAACTAAGAATCGAGAAGCTATTTAAACTAAAACTTTGCAGCTGAAACGACAATAAATCGGAGAGAAGCTTCAAATACCTTTATTGAACAGAATAATTCCTCAATAGCTACATTTCTCTCATAAATTATTGAGAATTTGCACCATTTGAAATATTTAAGTAATACAATTAGAGCAGCCGTTATTTCTGTTTCTATTGGTACTGTTCTCGCAAATGTATAAGCAGAATATCTGAAATATAAATGGAAAATAATGATCTTTAAATTCCTTATGGTGGAATGTGTTTCCCAAACCCACTGATATCATTAGGGATAACCTATCATTTATTCATCCCAAAATTAACTTTCAAAATACAAGTTTTGATTTATCCGATATTATCTCATTCTTGTACTTACAAGATAGAATGGGAAAATTCTGAGCAGCTGCCATCGTTGCTTGCGTCCCACATTTCATCAAAAAGAAAAACTTTTTTAAATAAAATCTGTCCGCAATAAATTGGCAAAAATAAAAAAAAGTTTCAAAAAAGGTATTCATAATAAAAGAAGAAAATGCTTCAAGAATAATCCAATTTCCCACCATTAAACATGCAATCCTAATTCTTTCTTTTCTAAGCTGCCCTTTGTTGATAAATACAAATAAGCGACCCGGGAAGAAGCATCTTGCATAAAAATTTGAGTAGGGCCGTGATAAATTGTTTCCATCGTATGTTTTGTGAAGGGTATCATTAGTGCTGGTAGTTTATGCAGATAGATGACTTTTCACTTTGTCACAGTTATTTTTGATGGCTTCACGCAAAATAAAAGTCATTAGGGTGAGAAAGTGTAGTGTAGGGAGTTTTATTTATAGTTTTACTTAGCTTTAGATATCATTATTTATTTTAATTTTATTATAATTTTTATAATTTATTTTCTCATTTGTTCTACTATTAAAATTTTTTTCGCTCATACATCATATTGCTGAAGTGAAATTATTTCATTCACGTAAGTGACATGAAATAAATAATTTTCAGTAACCTTATTTATTATTATTGCTACCACTGTTGCCGTTGTTTTTAATTTTATTGCTATTATTATAACTCTTCGTTTTTGTTTGTGACATTTTGTTAGTGTTTTTATTAGTGCTGTTATTATTGTTGCTCTGCCTGTTATGTAGTTATTATTACTATTCACTATTGTTGTTATTTTTGTTGTTGCCACCGCATTTGTAAGCTAAAAGGGTTTTGGAAGATTGAAAGATATTTGTTCCCTTTCGCCAATCGATTTCATTTCTAGTAAAAAGTGTTCTAATATTGTTTATCATTTCTTTTTTTATTTTCCGAATGTCGCTCTCATGAATTTGACCGCATTATTGTGGTTTCCAGTTGTGCGAAATTCAAAAGGAATAGCTGTTTGGCAGGAATCGGATCGTCGTAAATTCCCGGAAGGCAAAAGTGGACGTCGTTTCACCTGGCATAAGGTTAATTTATTGATAATATTAGTAATGAAAATGTAGGCATGACCGGATAATATTAATCTAATCAGATTAGATTCATTCCAATATAACAGAGTCCAGGTACTATGCAGATTGATTTACTCGCTAAATTTTTTTATAAATGGCATATATTTACTTTAATGTGATAACGTAATTACGATTTCTTGCGATTTATTTTTCCTTTATGGAAAAATTTAAGAAAAATGAAAATTAAAGGACTATTATAGTGAGCTTCAAAATGGCTATTAGTTAGATATGTAGACGGATAGATTTGACGATTAGCATTATGAGTTTCAATTCCCAGTTAATGTATTTGCTTCTCGATCAAATTGTCACCTAGATTTTCTTTCTTAAACACAAAAATATTGGAATAAATGGTTGAAAATATTTGTTGAGCATAACAAATAAGTATATTGGTAGTATAAATAATGAATGTGTTTTCTTGAAAGAAATTAACAACAAAAGTAAGTTACCGATCAATTCATATGCTTTATATTAACTTGAAATGCTTAATATTTAGAATATGTTTTTACCATTTCTGCCACCTATAACTATATGCATCTGTAACTAACATAATTTCATCAACTTCAAAAATGCAGTTTTCAGTCTCCAACTGTTTACGCTTTGGCTTTTACATTATACTTTTTCTACGCTAAATTCCGAATTGATACTGATAAGGATTATAAACCAAGTAAGTTGAGATTGTGAAATTTCGAACCAAAATATAATTTGATGGATTGAACAAGTTTATACAGTCCTATGAAATATCTTAGATGTTGCTTATCAAAGTGAATGAACTAAATAAATATAGGGCAGGTGGGTTGAGAACGAAATGTAAATTTCATCATAAAAGAAAGATCAAAGCAGATATGATTAAATTCAGCTGGGTTGAGTAAATCCACTCATGTAAGATAAAATGATATTTAACTTAGCTCATTTCTCTAAATATATTCATATTTTTTTATTTGTTATTAAATTCTCGTTATATTGGTGATATTAATGATGGAGATTCTACTCTTGTGTCTTCGGTATTTTATTTAACTTTGCATTAAAAATACATTATTGGTACTCCGCCTGAAACCATTATTTAGAAAATCCGTTCCTTTGGTTTTGTCAAATTTGAAGTACAGTGAAAAGTAAACTGTTGCTCTTATAGTATGGGCTCGAATCAACACGAATCAGGAGAAAGCACCAATGTTGCCGGATCCATCCCAGCTAACGAAGTATATATACTATATATATTTCTTTGACATTGAGCTTACAAAAAGCGCATCTAAAATATATTTGGAATTATATCTATATTCAAAAATAAAAGAGATATAAAATTTATTTGAGCCCCTAAGTTTTCTGTTTTTTGATATTTGTGGTAACAATGTACTGTATATCGAAAATTTACCTTCACTACCGCAAAGTTTTTGATTTCTTAAGGAACAACTGACAATTGTGCAAAAAATAATTTCAGATCAAAGCATTGATAAAAGAGCCGCCGCCAGAAACAAACGATTTTTATTTCCAGCAAACAATGCTACGTATCAAAGATCCTCGGAAAACGTTGCCATTTTATTGCAATATTCTGGGAATGAGGTTCATGCAGTTCTTGCTGTTCATTTTATCAAATATTCTTGCAGATCAAGTCAGTATTTCAGATTACTGAACCAAATGGACTTCCCAGAAGGAAAATTTTCCTTATATTTCTTGGGCTATAAGCCGGTATCAGAAATCCCCAGTGATCCTATAGAGCAGAGACGTTATGCACTTTCGACATTGGGAACAATTGAATTAACTCAGTAATTTTTTATGCACTTATAATTCGATTTAGTTTGTCGCCTTAATTGATATTTATCATTAAATTATATATATTCAGATATTTCAGATAAATTTATCCACAAATATGAATTTTACTACAAAAAATGAATGAATTTAGCGCGTTAGCTTGCCTACAATTTTTTCAGTAATTGGGGCACCGAGCACAATCCGAATTTCAGTTATCATAATGGAAATAAGGAACCACGCGGTTTTGGTGAGTTCCGTTGCATCATGTTATTTTGAAGAATAATGATTGGTACCAAAGAAGTAAATGTGCCGTTTTTTTGTCATTGTGTAAGAAGTATGGTGAAACTTTCTAGTAAAGTCTGTAATGCTTAAGTGGAAGAGGATGCTGCATTGAAGGTTTTGCCATTTCCTTTCAGCTGTCAGGAATTCGGCCTTGATATGAAAGTTTAAATGCTTTATAGGGCAAACCTCGCACAGTAGAAATAACCATATTTTTTAAGGTCATATCGGTATAGCAGTAAAGGATGTATATGCAGCATGTAAACGCTTTGAAGAATTAGGCGTTCAGTTCGTGAAGAAACCCGACGATGGTCGCATGAAAGGGTTAGCATTTATTCAGGATCCGGATGGTTATTGGATCGAAATATTCAATCCTTATACTGTATAACATTTGTGTACAACTGTTATTTTGCTATTGATTGATAAATGCTTTTAGATTTCTAGCTTTTTAAATATGCAAATTAACTTTTCTGAGAAAATCCTGCTAGAAAACAATTGACCAGTCGTGTTTTACAACGGCAACAAAGTGAAGAATAAGTTTCTGATTAAAAAGGTGAATTTTGGTTTGCATGTGTCAGTACAATGTGGTTTGAACTCTTCCCCATATAAAGAATTTACAGAGATTTTGAACACACTCAGAGGTCCAAAAAAATTATTACAGAAAGGGAAAGTAGAAAAAGAAGTCATACAGTGCTGACGTCTCACAATATCACTTCAACAGCATTTGAAAATGAACTTGTTATGGGCTGATACAAAGCATCAATTTGGTCTCAAAAGAATTAAAAATATTCAGCACAAAAACTGCTTATTTTTCTTCAGATACTTTTCCATCATAAAGATAGTAACCGATTATTAATGCAAGAAATTAGGTCATATCATACATTTTTTAAAAGATTGTGTTTCTTACCAAATATTTAATGTTGCGATGGATAATGGCTCTTTAACGAACACTGTATTTACTAAAGCATAAAATATTAGCATTACATGAAACATTCATCCGTTTATGATACATTTTCTTTCTTTCCCAAATAATTTTGACTTTTCAGATTTATTCCTGAACTAAAAAATCTTTAAATGCGCGGACAATGATATTACGTTTATTTTAATATTTTGCCATGTTGCAGAATATAATAGAAAAAATTTTTATCAAAAAGCATTCAAAAATGGTGATGCAATATTGGAATGAATAAAATTTAAAATCATTGTTTACTAGACTAAAAATTATGATAGTAATCAAAGGGAGCAAAGGGACAATCAATATTTGATTTGGAAAATTCTAGAGGGATTTTAAATTAGAAACAGTGATTTTAATTTTATTACCATTAGATTTTTTGGTTGTTTAGAATATTTCAAACTCAACTTTATTGCTGTGGGCTTTTATTAAATAATTTAATATTGTTGGTTATTCACAATATATCACTAGAATATATTATTTACTTAAGAAATACGACAATCAAGTTATACTTTTGTTTTCATTTTAAATTTACCATTTAGCAAATTTACCATTGTGTTCGACAAATGTTGATCTTTATGGCCCAGCTGGCCTCATCAAATTATACGGATATTCACCTTTTGTCTTTGGACTATATAAAAGATTGGATCGATGTGGTATTGGGTCATGTGGTCCAGGTGTTGGTACATGTCCAGCACAATATACCTAAAATTATCAATGAATAACATTTAATCAATCGGAAATTTGAAAAATTTCCTTTATTTTTCTTACTTTTTTGAAATATATTTATGTATGTCAAATTTTCTTACTCTTATCTTCCTTATACTTCCATTTATTTAGTTATTTTTACATCTTTTTGTTTTAATATATTCAATGAGATAATTAATGATGTAAAATGAACTTCAAAAAAGAAGAAACTAATACAAATGTTAATATCAATTGCATAACATATGTTTTCTATTTCCTATGATTAAATAAAAGTATTAGGAATTAAATATGATTATATAAATAGGAAAACCAAAAATCCAAAAATAAACCGTTATTCACTGAGGATCATATATATATATATATATATATCTGACTACGAATGTATGAAAGGATAAGTATAAGAGTGCATTACCAACTTATCTCATCAAGTGTATTATCAAGTTATCATAATTACCTCAAGATCTTGAGTATCATTCCTGTTATTGTGATAAGTTTTCAGTGATAAACGTGATCCACATATCCAACATTTGAAACATCCCTTAAAAGTAAAATTCTTTTTTTTCCACAACAGAATATTCTTTTTCGTTATAGCTAAATAGAATTCTTTTATACTTAAATTTATTTGTTCTAACAAATTATCGTTTTTTTTCGGGATCTAATTTTATTCAAAAATAAGTTAAAATCTCAGGAGGAAAAATGTGGGATAATCAATTTTATCTTGTCATTAAGGAAATGAAAAATGTGTGATAAAGTTGCAGTAACATCGAAATATAACGATAAGTTGGGATCTGAAAGATATGGATAAGGAAATTAATTTTCAAAATGTATCAAGAGATATCGATTAAAAATGTAGCAACGATATGAATGACTCATTGAATGAAATGTACAATAAAATATCATTCATCAAATATCACCAGATATTAAATTTTTCAAGCAAATAACCAGTATTCATCATTATTGAACTCTGTCAATTTTAATTCCAATAAATTTAAATGACAGACTAAAAAAACTTTTAGAAAGAAGGAATAAAATTCGGAATGTAACAAATGAAATAATTATTTTCGGAGAGAATTAAACAATGGAATGATATATTCGAAATTATTCCTAGATAATAGTAATTAATGGAGTGACTCATTAATCACAAATTAATTTACAAATCATTCAATAATTAAGTGCTTTTAATGATAAAACAAATGACATTAAAAAAATCACAAAAAAAGAATTTTTATTAGAATGTGTAAAAAGAGAAACAAAGTATTATTTACTTATACTTACTTTATGAAAAAGTACACCATCCTTCAATGGACCAATTTTATCATTAAAATAGGTTGGTCGTTTACATCGAAAACAAGGCTCTTTCATTGTTTCTGCAAAAATTTTTCCATACAACAAATACTTATTATTATTATTAATTATTTCTATCGCTATCTTATTTCGTATCATGATAATGGATACAATGAATATAATACTCTCCAATAATTTGATATGCATTTATAATATATGTTAAATATTAAAAATGTGTAATTGATTGGTTTTATGAAACAAAATGAAATTACCAAATATAATTAATGATTTTAAGCGATCATTTTCATATTTTATCTATTTAATTTGGGCTAATTCAAATATTCATTTTCCAGCTGATTCAACACATTTCGATAATTGTTTGCATACTTTATCATAACTTTTATGGGAAATTTTTCCAACTTCACTGAACGATTTTCGTTTCCCTTTTATCGTTATTATATGTTATCATCACATTGAATTGTATCGTAAGTTTGATGAAAATCGATTTAAATGAAATTAAAAAGGAAATTTTGAATTTAAGCATATATATATTTACTCTATCAAATTAAACAACTTATTGAAAAAACACAGAAAATATAATTAATAAAGAAAAGTAATTTAATTAATTACTTAATAAACAGACTAATAAATAATATTTTGTTTTAAAAGAGATCAGAAATTATTCCTATGATTAGTTTTGGAAAAGTTTTTGATAAAATGGGTGCAAATGAATAAATAGAAAAAATGCTTAAAAGAAATAGCGCAGAAATTTCAAAATTGAAATGCAACAAAAGCGATGCAACGAAGTGTGACTGCAATGGAATTAATCGTATGAGGAAGAGAAAGTGGCGCAGAGGAGTGGGATAAAGCAAGGGAGAAGGTAAGGAAAGGTAAGGAAGATGAATTGTATCAAGGTGTAGAAAGAGGAGCTAAAGAAAGTATACTTAATGAAATCATAAATGAATTTTGAAGTAGGTAGATGAAATGAAAGCAATCGAATTGTGTAATCAAAAATAGCGAATAATGAAGTACAGGTTGAAATATATGAGAGTAGTTTAATTATCTGGGATAATTGTAATGGAATGTCTGAATTATTAATGGTATCAACTAGTTTCGGATGAATGAAGTGTTCACAATCTGAATCAGCTGTTTACCTTAATAATCAATAAATTCTTTTTAATAGAAGTAAAAATTATATAAACACTTTGATTTTAACAATAGTTATCTGATTTTGATTTCAACAATAGTCACTGTGATTTTGAGAATAAAATTAACAAGAATTAGAAATTGATAAGTTATCAGTAATTGAAAAACAAATAACTGATAGTTTAGAGAGAGAGCGAAAGGAAAAGAAGAAAAGTTGGAAAAAAGAGAGTGAGAATTTTTTGCTATCATTAGAAAATGGTAATATTTATTAGCGACAACTACTGTTGTAAAAGAATCAAATTAGATATAATAATATAACATCATAATCGTTCAGAATTGTAATTAAATTAAATTGCTGAAATGATTCATTTAGGTATCGTATCAAAATGATCATATCAATTAGTGATATAGTGATTAAGGGTAAATTACACCATATTCAATTTTTTTAGTTTCAGATATGTTTTTATTATCTTGTTGGAAATTTATGTGCTTTTCTTTTTGTGAAAGGATATCCATTATGAAGAGTGGTCAGATAATGTCCATTTCGAAGAGAATGGTCAAATAATTTGCTTTTTGAATTTAATGCAAGAAATGATATGGTCATTCAGAAAAAGATTTATGATTTATGAAGAGAGAGAGAGAGAGAGAGAGAGAGAGAAAGAAAAAGAATTTTAACGAAGTGAAACGCTTCATCATTTTACTCTTTCAACACTTCCCTACCTAATGTCAACAAATGATAAATTATTTTAGTCGATATGCTTGACAAAAATGTCATATATTATTATATATAATATTGACACATAACATTCACACACACACACACATACACATACACATACACACACATACACACACATACACATACACATGCTTCAAATGCATCAATAAACCGAAATGTGTATGGATATTTTTCGGAGATATAAATTATAAAAATCAGTTCAGATAAGCATTTTATTATAGCTGAACGAATTCAAGGCATCCAAATGAGGAAGACTTAAGGTTATCAAAATTACTAATAATAGCATTAAGATGATGAAGTTTCCATCAAGAAATTGATTTGATCCGGTTGATCCGGTTGATCCGGTTCATGATTAAATAATCCTTTTTATCACTTTGAAATGAAAGAACTGAAGAAGAAAGGAAGAATTTCACAAAGAGCCAAAAGTTTAAACGTTAGTTTATTGTTTCTCCATCAATATAAAATTATTATTATTGCCGTACTACCAACAAATCAGCAACACAGGATCACAATTTATTATTATTATTTAAAAAGTAGATAATGATGATAATAAAGATAA